TAGCTGATATTGGCTTGTATAAAGATGGTCATCTCCTTTATAATAGAGCCATCAGTGGGTGTTGGTACTTATGCTGAAATGTGTCTTCCTAACAAGCTGTATTTTGCGGTTGTAGTCCATGAAAGTCCACCTGGAAATATAATATATCCCACTTTATTTTCTGAACTAATTGAAAATACAAAACATACTGGAGCAACAGCACAAATAACTGAGTTACAAGAAGTTGACCTTAATCAGTTTCCAGATGGTGTCAAAGTGACTCTTACTCAAGAGAAACTGACACAAACATTCATATTTAATGCTGAACCTAAAGCTTTATAGTGCTATTAGTCTATCTATGTGTTTCATATTGTATTATATAATACTTTTCAACCATTCATTCATACCAAAGACACATTATTCTCATTATACTATAGTATAATACAAACTGAATGAACTCTTCACCTCGTCTTGGTTTTAGTTATAGTTATCTAAAACAAAACTAGTTATTGTAATGCCAGGCTTTGCAATTGTTTCTGTAGTTATTGTAGTTATTAGTTTTTCAACATCATTAGTTTAGATGAGGTTGTAATGCCATTGGCCTCACCAGTGATTAGCATGGGCAAGAAGTAGTTGAGGGAAAAAGAAGCAAGAAGTAGTTGAGGGAAAAAGTTAAGCTTCTTTCTCACATGACCTATTTGCTGCCATAATTGCAGTTAGTTGATGATGTAAAAGACTCTCTTCATGTGTCAAAGTTCTTTTAATGTTGATAATCAAACAGATATTGCAGCAAGGCCACGCACCATAGGTGCCTCGTTTAATTGTTTTTTTTTAATCATTTTACAGCTGCTATTGATACAAATACTCTAGGACATGTTTTGAAAGTTTCCAAGACAATTTGAAGTAAACGTAATTACCCAGACCTCCCCAAGGTATAATTATTATTGATTGTATTTTACACTCTCAATATTGTGTATAGTAATGGAGTCCTTTGAAAAATGTGTAAAGATGACAATAGCATCGAAACTGCCTCTTGTTAGTATAACAATATGGAGACTACATCAATTAATAGTGGAAAGAAATTAGAAACAAACTAAGAGGCAAGAACATTAACAATTATACATGACTGGGCTATCATTGACTCTGAGTTCTATGGTTTTGTCTATAATTGAGGTGTATGTGCATATGGGCTAAAGGGTGGGGCTATTACACATCACCAAAGTATAGTATGCCCATCATTAACGGTTCATTCAGTGTAGTTTTTTCAATTAATTGCCAGATATACAAATAATTTTTTTCTTTTTCATACATGGTTTGTTGATGCTGTTGTAGCCAATGAAGCTGTAAATGGTGACAGAATAGTACAGGAAGAGGAGCTTGAAATTAGGCCTGAAAAAGTGGCAGCTTCTTGCTTATACTGTGTTTACACTAGCTTCTTTTTATTGAGCCAGCCCTGTTTAAAGTGGGCCAGCACAGTTTCATTTGATAGTGTAAACAGTAACCAAACTGAGCTGAAGTGAGCTGGGCCAAACCAGGCCAGCATGGTTAGTACAGCAGGGCCAGCTCAGTCTGGTTCAGCACAGTTTGGCCCACTTCTGTAGTGTAAACGCAGCATAAGATGAAAATGTGTGTTTAGAGAGCTGTAGAAAATATTGTACTAAAGATGCATGGATGGCAATTGAGAATGTTGCAGACACAATTCGGAGGAACGCTGTGTACTATTGTGAAAGATGTACATGTATGATTGATGGTGACAATCAGTCATCAGTTGTGTGTGTTTGCTGTTTGAACTGGTTTCATTTTAAATGCTTAAGTTTAAAATATCCTCCAAAAGCCAAACATTGGTCTTGTTGTGATTGTTATAATATAAAATAAAATTGTCTTCTTTTTTTCTGTTTGTGTCTTGTTTTAACTTGAACTTAATATAATGAATTATTAATAAACCTAATTTTAATTTATAACTTTAATGCGCATGTGCAGATGTAACTTCCAGATCTATAGCTAGGGCTGAGGCTATTATTCTCAAAAATCAGTCATTATTCTATTCTGTTATTCTTGTAAACAATGTTCATTATTCTCAAAAAATTACATATTATTCCCACCTTAAATTCCATTTACCTTAGAGTGACTTTTAATTGCGGGTACTAAATTTTGCGATTTTAACACAAGGTAGATTTTGCTGGTATTAAAAATTGCGATTAAGTAATTATTACTAATAGTTATATGGCATCATGATGTCATTATTAATAATTGCGAGTATTAATAATTGCGATTTTTAACCCAAACGCAAAATTCGCAATTAATAGTACCCACATTTAAAAGTAACCCAAAAATTTTGTTAGTTCACTAATTACAAGTTATTAATAATTAATTAACTATTATTATTACTCAATTAACTATCATTACTAGTTAGTTAGCTATTATCACTAGCTAGAGCTAGAGAATCCCGCAAACCACTCCCATTATTCTTAAAGTCCACCCACTATTCTCTTTTCAAACTATTACGGTATTCTACCCAGGCCCTCAGCACTATCTATAGCTCTGAAGTACACATGGTGGACCTTTTATTTTATAACTCAGTAATGAAATGACAGATTGAAGTACGGCAAACACCAATGGATAGAGCAAGGACGGTTAGAGCTGCAAGATGATACCTCTTTCGTTGATGAATTGGATCCCAAATTTTGGTTTCTAAAATAATTCGTCATTATACCATACGAAAATATTTCCACAACGAAAAAAGGAAAATTACGGTACATGTAGAAGTGAAGTCATGCACTCATGGTCAATGTTGTCTGATTTGCAGGGTATAAAAAGGGCTTTACCTCTTCTCCACATTATTACAAGCATTATTTTCTTTTTTCGCTATAAGAAAGAAAAGAAGTTGGAGCTAGTAAGCAGCCATGGCTACTTCAAATATAAAAGTTTCTTACGTTAATGCCACTGGTAACACCGATTTTGCAGTTGTTGTGTTCACAAAGAACTTCAATGTCAGCACTCCAAAGGTGTACTATTCTGCCTGGAAAATCCTTAGGGCACAGAGCCAAGTCGACTTTGTCTATCCTGTTTCCTTAGGTGTTGGTGTTATATACACTACTAGAACAGGATTGCATAAGGCTGGACCGTTTCCTGCAGAATTAGGATCAACTTGGGAGCTCTCTCATGATACCATTACTTCCACACCAAGCTTAAACAAAGGTACATTTTTTCCTTTGGTCAAAGATATTGATCTGACTGCCTGACAAGTACATGTAGTTTCTGATAATCACTTAATGCCCCCACTCTGGTACTGACATGAGTCATTTTCCCTTTTTTCTCTGTTTCTCTTTATTTAGTTGCCAATACTCAAGCCAATCCAAATGGATCTATTGTTGTCAAGAATCTTCCACCTTGTACATGGAGTGGACGCATGTTTGATGTTGGTGTTTACAAGGATGGTGGTCTTCTAGTTGTTGAAAAAGATGTCCACGTTGGTAGTCAAGCTGTCATCATGCTCAAGCCTAAGCTTTACTTTGCAGTTGTCTCTAACATGGTTGAGGGTGATGTCTTCAGTGCTATGGAAATTACAAGTTCTTTGACTGAATTTGATTTGAGCGACTATCCTGATGGGTTGAAAGTTACGCTCACTGAAGTAGGACGTGGCCGCCAGTTTAAGTTTGAAGGAGGATTCTTGTAAACGAACTATTTGACTGCATGCAGCTTCTAGTCGCATATTTTTAGTATAGTTTTAGTATTTTTAGTA